GATGTACTGAAAATGGTTTTCTTTTAGAAGAGAGCTCAAGCCTAAAGATTTGCAGTAAACCATTATTAAGAAAGTAAAGGAACAAAATAATAATAGTAATAGTTAGATCTGCCAACAGACTAACATTGTATTCTAACTTATGTACAATCCATAAATTTTTAAAAGATTAATAAATTAATAATAATGAAATGGTTGGCCATAAGCTACTTCCTTACAAAATCATTAAATACTACATTATCATTTGTATTTTAGGAATTTGTTGCTATTAAAAGTCCACAAGATAATCGCGGAGTATTTAGTCGACTCAGAGACGAGTTAAAACAATCTGGAGCACTGAAATAGATTCAGACGAGGTTTTAGAATCTATGTAAGTAACAGTAGTAAAAATGCTACAAATACAGCATATATAATGTACATGAAGTTAAATTTTATATTGAAAAATTGATATTGTCGCGTGTATGGCTGACTAAAGACGGGATTCGGATTGATAATTGGATTTATTAACAACCTACAGGTCGTAACTACAATTAATTATTACACTATTGCTGCTGTACACGATTTACAATCACTCCATACTATTCTCTTCAGTCTATCTGCGTTAGTCTTCACGGGTTATAACACATGAACTATAACACTCTCACTGAATCACACACTCCAAATATTACACATAAATAAAGTCTTCTAATCCCACGTTAAGTCTTCACAGGCAGACTTCTAGTTCTTCTTCAGCTGCGAACTTTCCGTGGCTATCTCCTACCGGGAATTGACTTACTTGCTTATCGCGTGCTTCTGCCGCTACTAGTAGTCGTAATTCGTAACTCGTAACTGCCCTGAACTAATTCTGTCACTCTCACTTATATAGCCGCGGAACAGGCACGAACCTACAGTAAATACATATCACGCTATCGCTATCCAGACAGTCTATTGGCGCGCCTGTCGGATATACAGAAAACACAGCTTTCTCTATTGTTGCGTGTTGGGCCGTATTTACTGAACTGTTGCCTCGCAACGCGTTGACACAGTCCGTTGCAAAATAAATACTGTTGCATGGACTTTCCCCTCGATCATTCATACTTCATGGTGTAGTGCTTAATTACTTAAGTACAGGACCAATTTTACCTTTTTAACTTTTTTATTGCTAGTGGGGTGGGACTAAGTCCCTTGTATTGTGGCCACTTCTGGCCTATTGTACCAGCCCCAGATGATAGGTGAAGGTGATTGTGGAGCAATTGGTGGAATGAAGATTGGCAGGGGAAACCGAAGTACTCGGAGAAAACTTGCCCCAGCCCACTTTGTCCACCTCAAATCCCACTTGACCAGACCCGAGATCGAACCCGGGCCGCCGCGGTGGGAAGCCAGCGACTAACCCCTTGAGCTATGGCGCGGCCTATCTTTTTAACTTACTACTAGTAGTGCATGTGGTAGCTTAGTTGGTTGAGGCACTATGCTACTAGCCGGAAAGTCGCGGGTTAGATTCCCGATGAGGTCATTGGATATTTCAATTGATCTAATATTTCCAGCCGCTCTATGGCCCTGGAGCAGACTCTCCCTCTAACAGAAATGAGAACCAGGAATCTCTGGGTTTAAAGGGTGGCCGGCGCGTAACGCTAACAAATCTCACCACCATCTGTGAGCCAATTATCTAGAAAACATGGGAGCCTCGACCTCTCACAAACCTATGGGCCTCCATGGCCTGTTACAGGGGGTAACTTTACCTTTTTTCCATTATTTACTACTAGTAATTAATGTATACTAAGCAGTATTTTAGGGGATTACAGCTCACACTTATTGACACATGTTACATGTTTTTTCGTGGATCTGAATTTAATATTTACGAAGACATCCCCGACGATGCAGTACAGAAACTTAATTAGTAAAATTGTCTTTATATACACATCAGAGAATTTTTAGATTAAAAGTTTCGCTTACCATATACAGTACTAGATTTTCTCTGACATATCTAATTTCAGGTTCTCAGTGGAGTGAAATTTGCTGTGAGGCAAAATATTAATTTGACGGTAATCACATTGAATTCCGCCCACTTTTTAAATCCAATACGTCTGGGACTGCAGACCTTGAATTCGAGAAAGGCTGTGATTTCCTAAAAATATTATATAAATCAAATCGGCTCCCACAAAGTACTATTCGCATGGATTTTAAAAAGCAGTTTGACGCTCACCCTCAGGGTGAAAAGCCACTTAACGAGGGGACACATAAACACGCAAACCTTTACAAGCTTGTGAAGTCACGTTCCTGCGGAAACGTAGAGCAATAACATGCAGATACGTTGCAGCTTTATATTTTTTTCCGGTCAAAGGCTTGAACTGTTATATACCGAAGTCCAATCAAGTGAAATAATATTTCAATCGAAATGTATTATTAGTTATGAATTTGATTTAAAAAATACCCATGTTTTCAACCCGTGCTCTTCCGTCAGGCGAGAGATGAATCTTCATACCCATGCAAAACAAGTGACGTATAGATCTCTGTATTGTAATCATAAAATGATTAGATAGGGTAATGACAGACAAAATGCTATGAAATGAATTATAAGGAGAATATCTGGGAAGAACTAATTACCAACTTTCCTTTCACCATAATTTTAGTATATGATACGGCACGTACAAAAAACTTTATCGCGTATGCGTAATGAAGTCAACAAAACTATAAAATTTGGGAGGCCGTAGTGTTGGTATTTCTGATGGGACTGATTTATGATGCTATCCGTTGAGATGGCCTTAGATAGCATGACATACATACCAAGTTTCAAGAAGACTAGTTAAGGCATTCAGATAATATTAAAGTTATTACATCCAAAAACTGAGAGGCCAGTGTTTCTCTTAGTGGGGGGTGGAGTCCGGCTGAGTCCACTCGCCACGGCGGCCACTGATTGGTCTATTGTACTTGCCCCGGGTGATTATGATGATGGAGAATTTGGTGGGATGAAGATTGGCAGGGGAAACCGAAGTACTCGGAGGAAACCCGCCCCAGCGCCACTTTGTCCACCACAAATCCCACTTGACCAGACCCGGGATCGAACCCGGGCCACCTCTGTGGGAAACCAGCGACTAACCGCTTGAGCCATTGCGAAGCCATAATCAGGCTACATTGTTAGTATTTTTTTTTTCTGTGGCGCTACAGCCCCAGTTTGGGCCTAGGTCTACCTCCATGAAACTTTCCGTTTCACTTCAGTTTACTAGATCTTACACATACGGTAGGACTCCTTGGGCGAGTGATCAGCTCGTCGCAAGGCCTCTACCTGTAGACAAACAGAAAAACGCACACAAACATCCTTGCCCTGAGTGGGATTCGAACCCACGGTCTCGGTTTCCGAGCGAGCGAAGACAGTGCATGCCTTAGACCGCTCGGCTACCGTGACCGGCCACAGTGTTAGTATTACTAATGGAAGAATTTATGATGTATGCCGTTGAGATGATCTCTGGCATGACATACATACCAAGCTGATACTACTGAGGAGAGGGACTTCTGCTGTTGAGATGACCTCAGGTGTTATGATATACATAACAAAGTCTCATTCGTGTAATATTAAGGGTAATATCTCAACAATTTGGGAGACTGTAGTGTTTGTATTACTGATTAGTGGAATTTATCATGTACGCCATTGAAATACCCTCAAGTGGCATGACACATATACCAACACTACATGAGTAATAATGTCAACTCTCGACTTGTTTGTAAAATTCTTCTAAACAGGTGTAAAACTTACATTTTCGTGTTGTGTATTTAACGCTTGAACCTAAAGAGCGAGTAGTTACTATAGGATTCTGACGATGGTGTGTAACACACTGATATATTGGGTTTTTGGACTTTATCCATTGTCCTGGTTTTTAAGATAACTAATAAAACACGACGTTTCGGAAACTGGATCTGTTTCCGTCCTCAGGTGAAGGAAAAACACCTATTCTGTTGAGTCCGTTAGAAAGAGCTAGCCTCAATCACTGGACCAGTGATTGAGGCTAGCTTTCTAACGGACTCAACAGAATAGGTGTTTTTCCTTCACCTGAGGACGGAAACAGATCCAGTTTCCGAAATGTCGTGTTTTATTA